TGTATAGATAGATGTATAGATGTATAGATAGATGTATAGATGTATAGATAGATGTATAGACGGACGGACGGACGGACGGACGGACGGACGGACGGACGGACAGACAGACAGACAGATAGATAGATATTAAAATACTCAAATTATAACATCATAATTTGTATACATCAAGTACACAGAAATAGAAAGTACAACCTCATCTAGACCCACTTTGACTAAACAAAACTTTGCTGAAGTCATTTTGTAGTGTATACCTATGAATTGTGGTTTTACCCATCACATTTCTTTATATTTATTTAATTAGATGAAGGAAATGTTTAATGATGTTCAACTGTCTTCTCTATCTGCTATGAACAAGTCAAGTCAGACAAACCATCAGGGATCATTACAGCCAATGTAAACAGATCCAAGAGCTCCATTTAAAATTTCAGTTTTATCTAATTTAATTTATAATTTAAACTGAGAGCTAAACTTAAAATATTTTTTGCAGGGGGAAATGTTCAGACTTGACTTGCGTGCATTGAGTTTGACTTTGTGCTTTAGACAATATGAACCAACAACTGGACTCACAGTTATAATATAAAGAGGTGGGACAGGAAGAACTTTTAGGTTGAACATTATAAACGGAGTAAACATGGGGCTAAGAAGAGAAAACAACACTAACATAAAAAGTAGACAAATGTGAAGCAGCTGCTGAACAGATTTAATTGTTACAAACATCCAGAGAAATGTAAGGTGGAGTTTCCTACAGGGTTAGTTTTCATCTCTGCTCAGGCTGCTGCAGAACACCAGCTGATGGTAAAATGTACGAACAGATCATCTGAAAGTACAGTAACATCGTTCTGCAACAAATGAATTATTACTTTACTTTGTTTTTTTTACTGTTCTTGTACCTCGTTCTCCCTCCTCTACTAAATTGATTTGACTGCTGCTACCGAGGATGATTTCATAGCAATGTTCCTGCCTGTGATGCTTGCGAGTCTTATCAGTAGTCAGTGCTCGGTCTGCATTCACCAACATTTTCACTGCACAGAACATCTATGTGTTGATGTTGGGAAATCACTTCTACTCTGAGAATCCTACTCAAAATGTTACTGAGAAGGCTGCATCCTAATCAATTGCCCAAACCATCTCACCTGACTCCATGCCAAGGAGCAGCAGCAGCTCTACTCGGAGCTCCCCCCGGATGACGGAGCTCCTCACTCTATCTCTAAGGCTGAGCCCAGCCACTCTGCAAAGGAAGCTAATTTAGCCCACTTGTATCCAGGAACTTGTTGTTTTAGTCATGATCCAATCTGCATAACCATAGATGAGCGTTGGAATGTACAGACCAGTAAATTCAGAGCTTTGCCTTTTGATTCAAGTCTTTCTTCACCTCGACCAAACGAAGCAATGTCCTCATTACTGAGGACGAGGCCCCAGTCCATTGATCCATCTCCCACTTCATCCTAACATCACTCCTGAACATTACACCCAGATACTTGAACTCCTTCACCTGAGGCAAAGACTTCACCCTGCTGACCCTGTGGGGTATTCCACCAATTTCCAGTTGAGAACCATGACCTCAGACTAATGGCGCTTTGCCACTGACTCTACACTCATCGGTTCTGCTCCAGTTAAGGGCCTGCCAACTGCCAGTACTTGCCCTACACTCAGCAAGGTTTACTGGAGTATCGTATTCATGGCTCCAAGCAAACTGCGCCAATGTGACAATTTTGACATTTGCAGGCAGCGACCATTGATTGGTCTGTAGAGCTATGCCACTATATGACCCGCCCACCACAGACATGTCAAGTCTTGTGATTTTTCTGTATATGATATGGATTTTTCCCATTTTTCTTGACTACGGACGTACAGAGAAAATCTTGTGAATTTTTCAAAAACTCAGCTTTAAATTTATTTTACATCTCCGAGCTGGCCGGGAAATGGAAATGCTAAGGTCACCCCCTCCTCGTCCTCATCCTCTCTGCTCCACCTCGCCTCTGCCACCAACCCTCCCCCTTAGTTTTTAGATCAGTATGGAAACTCTAAAAAAAAAGTGTTGCGGACCAATGACGAGGTTCAGACCTTTCCGTCTTTATTGGTGGATCAAAAGATTCAGCACAAGCTGGATGGCGCTACAAGAAGCTGCCCACGTTTCACTGACAATACCGTCCACAGAGCAGGGAAACAAGTCACAGTGGCAAATCGCCAACACCTGAGAAGAACCGATAAGACAAGAACCAAGCGATGTCACACTTATCAAACTGTCAGTCGACAGTTCTACGGATTCTATTTCCTTCTTGCAATATGTGAAAGCTTCCTAACTACTGATGTTTTTCAAACACAAATAAAAAGTTTGAGTCACAGTATATCACGTCTGCGTTAGCTTATTCATGTAGATTTTTCTGTCCACGTCTTCCTAAAGTAAACAAAATTTTTGTTTTGTTGGTTTACTGAGGCATGAGTTAGGTTGAGTTAAGCTTTAACATGGTTTTGATCTTGTCTACACTGTCTTTGGTTGGACTCCATTTTACCCAATTTAAGTCCAAATGATAAGTGTACCACCACACCCCTTTTCCTAAAAATTACAGAACAAGGTTCATTTTTCCACACTTTTCAAATTTAAGATTAAGTTGAGACCAAAAACAAGCTCTTCAGCTTGAACTCAATCAGGTTTGGAGGAAAAGAAATGTTATTTTTAGTAATGTTTTTAAGTATTTTAATCTTGTTTTGAATGTACATTTTTATCCTGTTTTTATTAATTTTGTCATGTTTTAAGTTTGTATAAATGTGCTGGCTGTCATCACCACCACTACTTATTGTAAATGAATTGCCCTTCGGGGACCTAATGAAGTGAAGTGAAGAACAACACAAAGAACGCTATCCCTACAGTCAAGCATGGAAGTGGGACCATTATGCTTTGGGGCTGTTTAGATAAACCTACAAGTCGACTTCACTGCATTGACGAGCCAATGAAATGGGCCACGCACCATCAAATCTGGTCTGAAAACCTCCAAAGATGGGTTATGATCAAGTTTTCTGGTATAATAATGACCCAAACTAAGTGTCAAGACAACAAAGGAGAGGTTAAAGAAGCAGAAAGACAAGACATGTAACCCCAATCCAATATATATAAATGGTGTTAGCTCCAGAGATAATAAATTAAACATCACAAGTTGATCACATTTGTTGTTTCGACCCATATTGTGCATAAGGACCGAAACAAGACAGAACTTTGTCACATAACATTTTTAGCTTGACTCATTGCGTTTTAGTCTCCACTTCAATCCTTGTATGCCATCGCCCCAGAATGCATTGTGCTGTTAAAATCATTACAACATCCTTATATATACATACATGTTGTGTGTAGTAATTAGGAATTTTCACATCCCAAACAACTTTTAGTAAAATACAGCAATAACAACACATTAAGGCCAATATGTGCGAGTAGTCGGAGATCCCTTTGAGGTCTTTTCTTGTGAAACTGAACAGAGTTCTGCTGCATTTCTGGACTGACAGAAACATTCATAAACATTAGGTGATGTTGAACTTTAAAACCAGCATTTAGTGTTTTATGCGACAGTTTGGCAGCTAACTATTCTCTCACCGTTTTCAAAAGCTAAATAAAAGTAAACAAAAACAGTAAAACTATGGAGGGGTTCATCCAAGAACAATGACTTCTTGTTTTTGATAGTCTGCTTATCTATAATTATCACATGCCAAGAAAAATATGATTTAACCTCTAAAGTTTAAGCCAATCGTATGTATTTTAATTCTGAGCAATGACAAAAACATATATTCACACAGTCAACTATCCTCACTACGCAACAGTCCTCATAAACAACATTTGTATTTACTACTTAAACTTCAGATCATATCTAAAGTATTTCAGTTGCTTGATGCTTTAAGGATTGTTTTTATCCATAAGACATAAAACAGACCCGGTGTTCATCCACCACTGTCGTATTTTAGACATCTCAGGTGGTTTAAAAGCCGATTTGTTTCTAATATGCCAATTTTTACCTCGGATAGTTATGTTTTGTTTACTCCAAATAGGCTGTTTAACTTGAACTGAAAGCTCTATTAATCCCAAGTCATGAGATCACAGCAACAACTCCTGAATGTAAACAGGAACAGCCCACTTAGGACCACAAAACAGTCGGTAAATCACAGTTAGCGCTTCAACAGATGGTTTTAGTTGAAGCAACTTACAATCAACTTTTAGTGCAGTTAGTGAGCTCTGTTGGACACAATGTAGGTGAAACAAGACGAGAGAGGAAGCTAAGCTGCTTGGAGACGTGTGGGGAGATGTTCCTTGAAGAAATCTGTCTTTAGGACGACGTCTTTGGATACGTCTGCTCTGATAGCAGTTGATGGCTCATTTCCACCATCGCTGAACCACAAATGCAAACAGCCTGAACCGACACTGCCTTGTTCATATGTTAATTAGTACCAGCCGATGTTCCCGAGGAGAATGCTGCTGCCAAGAAGGAGCAAAAAGTCTGGATGATGGAGCAGGCGAGCCTCAACAACCAGTTTGATTCTACCAGTGAGCGGAGGTCATTGGTAGAGTTTAGTAATGGAGTTCTTGTGGTGAATGAAACACACACTCAGAAAGTAACCATTGAATGAAGATCTTCATTTGAAATGCAGGAGTCAACCCGATGGCATGTTAAGATTTTACCAGAAACAGCTACAACTTTGTCATTTCCCAACAAAATATATTTGTTTTAAACTCCGGAATGAAAGGTCGTATATGTTCCTTTACGAAATGCTTGACTTTTGATCAGTTTAATGGATGAGTTTTTCCTATATGAATAATTGCAAAGTAACATGATCAAGAGTTAACTACAACACTGTAAGCTTCCGACAGCTGAGCTAACAAAGTCTAACAAGGTCACGTCAGGTCCTCTGTTGAACGTTTCGTCTTTCTATCCAAAAGACTTCTTCAGTCTGAGGAGTTGTAATACATTTTTTGGGATAAAAGACAAAACGTTTCAACAAGAATCCATCCAGAGGACCTGACTTAACCTTGTTAGATTTATTTACAAGGATTATTGAGCTTGCATCGGGAAATGAGCTAACAAAGGTTTCGTCTAACCCCGGTCTGACAACACTTAAAGAGCAGGTTTTACTATTGACCTACTGTAGCCTTCCATAAACCAATTGGTAGACAGGTTTAACCGAAAGCAATGCTCCTTTACCCAGTTCTATATGTTTACATGCACAAAATTCTTTGATCAGATTGAAATGTTTTGGATTAAATAATCCGAATGTATCGTTTACATGGGCACAATCTGATTACGACGAGCGTTTACATGTAGCGGGCTTTTATTCAGAATAGAAGTACTGACTTGCACAGAGTGGTAAACTTTCCTTAAAAAAAAAAAAAGCAAAGAAGAAGTTATACTTCCTTGATGAATTTAAACAACCCTGAGCGCCAGGTTTTAATGATGTTGGAGACGTTACTGCGCTCCCTGATTGAGCTACAGGAGAAGCAAAGGCGTTTGATAATTTTGAACTCTTTCAAAGTTTCTAGTAGGAATGTTGTATCGATCACAGACCAATTTTGCTTCCCCGACATATTAGCATCTAGCCAGGTGGAAATACGTGAGGTTGACATAGGTTGCACATGTGCAGTCAGGTCAGTTTTCCCACAATCAGAATAAGATATCAGATTAAGTGTTTACATGCACACAGTTTGTATTATGAATTGGCATAAACCACCCTCTCATTTGGATTACAAATTCATTCGGATAGAGCTGAATCAGCTCAAAATAATCCAAACGGGGCGTTTACATGACACATTTTTATTTCAAATGGTTGTTTAATCTGATTACTTATGTTCATGTAAACATAGCCAATGGAAACAGCTGAACTAAGATCATGGGGGTTCTCTTGTAAGTCTGTAAAATAGACTACTGTGTCGCCTGCGTAGAAGAAGAGATAAAAACTAAAAGAGAAATAGGACCAAAGGTGATTAATGAAAAGAAAGTGGTCTCAAACATTGCACCCTGGGGCATCCCTTTGGATAGGCAACGGCAAACAGTTGTTTGCCCTTGTCATGATACTGTGAGGGAACAAATCAGACACGTTTTAAATTAAACAAAAAATTTGTCATGCTTGAGTCATCAATTTTGAGCAAAAAGCTGTGGTTCAACAGCTCAAAGGCTGCAGAGAGGTTGAGTGAAACAAAAAGTGATGACAGTGTTGGAGATTCGGTTCCCTTTAAAGGCCACTGAAAGACGTATACATTTGGAAAAACAAGGCCTCGCTTGCTAAACCTTTCGGGTAACGTGCATGTACACATATTTATTTGTCTGTTATAAAATAAAATCTCATGAAGAACTGGATAAACTTAAAAAATGTCCCACTAAAATGTCTGCAGCTCAGCTCTATGGCTACTGAACTGTGGCAGCTGAAAGTCAAACATCAGTTCATGGGGCAAGACAGAGTTCAAACTTTGGCATTCAAGGCGGCGGGCGATATGCATTCCTTCAATTAGCGCTAGTTTCATTAAATGTCTGCACAAAATCTAAAAGCTGCTTCAGTTCCGAGGTTTGATACGTTGTTGGGACCGGAGAACTGGTTTATTGTCAACGTGACAAAAATCTGTTCAGCAAATTGTTTCGGCTCACCTCCGAAATGTCAACACATTTGTGTGTTTGACTTGTTAAAACACCACGAGGCGTTTTATCAGTGTCTCGGACAGACATAGTCGCTCACACAACAACTTCCTCACTGAGAGTCACTGATGATATCACTTCCTGTCTCACAGCCCATCTGTCAGCAGGCTCATTAGCAACCGTCACCTTTGCACCATCAGCCGAGTGAGGAAACGCACAAATACCCACATAACCAACACACACCCACACACACATAACTTGGACTGTGGTTTTGGTCCCCAATTGCCAAGGTGTCCCCAAATGACTGGTGTGTATGCTCGTTCAAGTCCTCAAATAGAACCTAAACAAACACACACACACACACATACATACACACACCATCGTCACACACTGAGGAGAAAGTTACAAACAGCAGGAGGTGAAAGCGTCACTCTCTCACTCTGACACAAAAACGTCACCAACCTTTGGCTGCCGGGCGTACTTTCCTGTTCTGGTGTCTCTGATCAAGTTGATGTCCAGGATGTCGGGCTCCTAAAAACAGAAAAAATACTTTTGTTAACTCTTGTTGATTGGATCCGTCTTCAGAACGAACATGTTTGAAAGTAATATTTCGCTAAAGAGGAAACACTGGTTTAAACTCGAGTAAGAGTTGATGAATTAACGTCCCAAACATTATCCCAGACAATAATTAGATAATAGAAACACAGTTCAAGATGGCCGCCACAGCCAACAGCTGTTAAGAAAATATGGGACCACGGTCAGAATGTGAGAACTACTTGTAAACGCTTTGTTGTATTAGCCATTCGATTACCAAAACGTTCGGCTCGATCAGAAGTTATGTTTTGTGCCTTTTAGTTTTTGTAACTTTTATAAAATTATTTAACTTTATTTACAAAGAAGATCCCCCCAACACACACACAGAGAGCTCTTCAGTTCCTTCAAAACTAATTTCTCTTTATAAACTTTAGCATATGAGCTGAATCCTAATCCTCTTACGCTCCTTTTAAATGCTATCTTTAGCTTTTAGCTATGGGTTAGCTATTTTGAGCCATTTGATAATTTTTGCCTTTAGCTACTATGCTGCAAATTTTAGCTTTTAACTGTGGTTTGGCTTATTTTCATTATTAGCTAATGTTTTGTTGATTTGAACTTTAACCTACTGTTTTGTAATTTAACTTTAAGCTGCTGTTTTGGTCATCTAAGTGTTGAACTATTGCTTTATTAATGTTTACTTTCAGCTGTTTTGCTAATTTTAGCTCCTAGCTACTCTTTTGCCAATTTTGACTTTAAGTTTTGTTTTGGTAACTTGAGCTTTGAGTTACAGTTTTACTAATTTTAGCTTCTGTTCTTCAGTGGCTAAAAGCTAAAAATGACTGAGCAGTCAGAAGTCCTTCAGCAGTTATTTAATGCTTGTTCAGCAGTCTTTCAGCAGTCTTTCAACAGTCATTCAGTAATCTTGGTCTTTCAGCAGTCGTTCAGCTGTATTTTGCAGTCATTTAACACTTTCAGCAGTAATTCAACAGTATTTTAGCAGTCATTCAGCTGTCATTCAGTCGTCTTTCAGCAGTCGTTCAACAGTCTCAACACTTTCAGCAGTTATTTGATGCTCATTCAGCAGTCTTTCAGCACATTTTTAACAGTCATTCTGTATTCATTCAACAGTCTTTCAACAGTCTTTAAGCAATCAGCAGGCTTAAGTCTTTCAGCAATCAAAACACTCGTTCAACAGTCTTTCAGCATTTAGTCTTTCAGCAGTACTTCAGCAGTCTTTCAGCCATCTTAGCAGTCCAACTGTGTTTCAGCAGTCATTCAAAAGTCATTCAGCAGTAATTCAACGGTCAGTCAGCAGCCATTCAGCAGTCCTTCAGCAATCTTTCAGCAGTCTTTCAGCAGTCATTCAGCAGTCTTTCAGCAGTCATTCAAGTCATTCAGCAGTCATTCAACAGTCATTTAGCAGCCACTCAACAGTCTTTCAGCAGTCATTCAGCAGTCGTTCAGCAGTCTTTCAGCTATCTTTCAGCTGTCATTCAACAATCTTTCAACAGTCATTCAAGTCCTTCAGCAGTCTTTCAGACATCTTTCAGTCATTATTCAACAGTCTTTCAGCTGTCATTCAGCAGTCTTTCAACAGTCATTCAGCAGTCCTTCAGCAGTCTTTAAGCTATCTTTCAGCTGTCATTCAACAGTCTTCCAGCTGTCATTCAACAATCCTTCAGCAGTCTTTCAGCTATCTTTCAGCTGTCATTCAACAGTCTTTCAGCTGTCATTCAGCAGTTTTTCAACAGTCATTCAGCAGTCCTTCAGCAGTCTTTAAGCTATCTTTCAGCTGTCATTCAACAGTCTTTCAGCTGTTATTCAGCAGTCCTTCAGCAGTCTTTCAGCTATCTTTCAGCTGTCATTCAGCAGTCCTTCAGCAGTCTTTCAGCTATCT